GGAGCCGGGGGCGGGGGGTCACGAAAAAAAGCAGGGGCGGCCAAAATTTTTTTTTGCATGGAGCAGCAAAAATCCTAGAACCAGCCCTGCCAGCAAGAAGCAGCTGCTGCTGCCACCTGGCTGTTTGGCAGAGGAGTTGGAGTACTAACTGAGTGAGTGTCTGATTGGCTGCTAGCCTGCAGGGGGCGGGCATTAGGGTGTCTGTTTGTTTGCGTCAGGGAAGCCTGGCTGTTTAAAAGTAGCCAGAGCTTCGCGAACCAGCTGAGCGGCGGGAGACAGCAGAGCAGCTCACAGCAGGAGTTTGCCTGGGAGTTCGCCTGGAGTGAGCCCAGTGAGGCTTACGTCTTGCAAACTGCTCTGAGGAAGCTCATAGTAGGAAGGTGATATGGAAGGGGGGGGTTCAGCTGTTGTGACCTGCACTGGATGTGCCATGTTTGTCTTTCTTCCACAGGACAGAAGCGACTTTGTCTGTACAAAGTGCAAGCTGGTCTCATATTGGAAGAGAAGATTGAAGGTCTGGAGCAACAGATAACAACCCTGCGTTGCATACGAGAAACTGAGGATTTTCTGGACAAAACTCAGGATAGGCTTCTAGGGGCACAAAGCTCTAAAGATATAGAGCAGGTTGCACAGAGGAGCCAAGAGGCCAGTGAAGAAGCTTGGCAACATGTGACCTCCAGAAGAGGTAAGCGGAATGTCCGGGTTCCAGTAACACAGACACCGGTAACTAACCGCTTTCATGTTCTCTCCACAGGTACCGTTGCGGAGAGTGGACCAGATGATATGTCTGGGGCGAGAAAGCGGAAGGAGACTCCGCTGGTTGGAAGGCATGAGATGCGATGTCCTGAGGTTGGGGGTTCCACGACCACCACTCCCAAGAGGAGAAGGCGGATGGTGGTGGTCGGGGACTCTCTCCTCCGGGGGACTGAGTCATCTATCTGCCGCCCTGACCGGGAAAACCGAGAAGTCTGCTGCTTGCCAGGGGCGAAGATTCGCGATGTGACGGAGAGACTGCCGAGACTCATCAAGCCCTCGGATCGCTACCCCTTCCTGCTTCTCCACGTGGGCACCAATGATACTGCCAAGAATGACCTTGAGCGGATCACTGCAGACTACGTGGCTCTGGGAAGAAGGATAAAGGAGTTGGAGGCGCAAGTGGTGTTCTCGTCCATCCTCCCCGTGGAAGGAAAAGGCCTGCGTAGGGACCGTCGAATCGTGGAAGTCAACGAATGGCTACGCAGGTGGTGTCGGAGAGAAGGCTTTGGATTCTTTGACCATGGGATGGTGTTCCATGAAGGAGGAGTGCTGGGCAGAGACGGGCTCCATCTTACGAAGAGAGGGAAGAGCATCTTTGCCAGCAGGCTGGCTAACCTAGTGAGGAGGGCTTTAATCTAGGTTCACCGGGGGAAGGAGACCAAAGCCCTGAGGTAAGTGGGAAAGCGGGATACCGGGAGGAAGCACAGGCAGGAATGTCTGTGAGGGGAGGGCTCCTGCTTCATACTGGGAATGAGGGGCGATCAACAGGTTATCTCAAGTGCTTATATACAAATGCACAAAGCCTTGGAAACAAGCAGGGAGAACTGGAGGTCCTGGTGATATTCCAATCACGTCATAGTTCTTTGACAACAGAGACTTGGTGGGATAACTCACATGACTGGAGTACTGTCATGGATGGTTATAAACTGTTCAGGAAGGACAGACAGGGCAGAAAAGGTGGGGGAGTAGCACTGTATGTGAGGGAGCAGTATGACTGCTCAGAGCTCCGGTACGAAACTGTAGAAAAACCTGAGTGTCTCTGGATTAAGTTTAGAAGTGTGAGCAACAAGAGTGATGTAGTGGTGGGAGTCTGCTATAGACCACCGGACCAGGGGGATGAGGTAGATGAGGCTTTCTTCCGGCAGCTCACGGAAGCTACTAGATCGCATGCCCTGATTCTCATGGGTGACTTTAAATTTCCTGATATCTGCTGGGAGAGCAATACAGCGGTGCATAGACAATCCAGGAAGCTTTTGGAAAGCGTAGGGGACAATTTCCTGGCGCAAGTGCTAGAGGAGCCAACTAGGGGGGGCGCTTTTCTTGACCTGCTGCTCACAGACCGGGTAGAATTAGTGGGGGAAGCAAAAGTGGATGGGAATCTGGGAGGCAGTGACCATGAGTTGGTTGAGTTCAGGATCCTGACACAGGGAAGAAAGGTAAGCAGCACGATACGGACCCTGGACTTCAGGAAAGCAGACTTCGACTCCCTCAGGGAACGGATGGCCAGGATCCCCTGGGGGACTAACTTGAAGGGGAAAGGAGTCCAGGAGAGCTGGCTGTATTTCAAGGAATCCCTGTTGAGGTTACAGGGACAAACCATCCCGATGAGTCGAAAAAATAGTAAATATGGCAGGCGACCAGCTTGGCTTAATGGTGAAATCCTAGCGGATCTTAAACATAAAAAAGAAGCTTACAAGAAGTGGAAGGTTGGACATATGACCAGGGAAGAGTATAAAAATATTGCTCGGGCATGTAGGAATGATATCAGGAGGGCCAAATCGCACCTGGAGCTGCAGCTAGCCAGAGATGTCAAGAGTAACAAGAAGGGTTTCTTCAGGTATGTTGGCAACAAGAAGGAAGCCAAGGAAAGTGTGGGCCCCTTACTGAATGAGGGAGGCAACCTAGTGACAGAGGATGTGGAAAAAGCTAATGTACTCAATGCTTTTTTTGCCTCTGTTTTCACTAACAAGGTCAGCTCCCAGACTGCTGCGCTGGGCATCACAAAATGGGGAAGAGATGGCCAGCCCTCTGTGGAGATAGAGGTGGTTAGGGACTATTTAGAAAAGCTGGACGTGCACAAGTCCATGGGGACGGACGAGTTGCATCCGAGAGTGCTGAAGGAATTGGCGGCTGTGATTGCAGAGCCATTGGCCATTATCTTTGAAAACTCGTGGCGAACGGGGGAAGTCCCGGATGACTGGAAAAAGGGTAATGTAGTGCCAATCTTTAAAAAAGGGAAGAAGGAGGATCCAGGGAACTACAGGCCAGTCAGCCTCACCTCAGTCCCTGGAAAAATCATGGAGCAGGTCCTCAAAGAATCAATCCTGAAGCACTTGCATGAGAGGAAAGTGATCAGGAACAGCCAGCATGGATTCACCAAGGGAAGGTCATGCCTGACTAATCTAATCGCCTTTTATGATGAGATTACTGGTTCTGTGGATGAAGGGAAAGCAGTGGATGTATTGTTTCTTGACTTTAGCAAAGCTTTTGACATGGTCTCCCACAGTATTCTTGTCAGCAAGTTAAGGAAGTATGGGCTGGAAGAATGCACTATAAGGTGGGTAGAAAGCTGGCTAGATTGTCGGGCTCAACGGGTAGTGATCAATGGCTCCATGTCTAGTTGGCAGCTGGTATCAAGTGGAGTGCCCCAAGGGTCGGTCCTGGGGCCGGTTTTGTTCAATATCTTCATAAATGATCTGGAGGATGGTGTGGATTGCACTCTCAGCAAATTTGCGGATGATACTAAACTGGGAGGAGCTGGAGGGGAGGGATAGGATACAGAAGGACCTAGACAAATTGGAGGATTGGGCCAAAAGAAATCTGATGAGGTTCAATAAGGATAAGTGCAGGGTCCTGCACTTAGGATGGAAGAATCCAATGCACCGCTACAGACTAGGGACCGAATGGCTAGGCAGCAGTTCTGCGGAAAAGGACCTAGGGGTGACAGTGGACGAGAAGCTGGATATGAGTCAGCAGTGTGCCCTTGTTGCCAAGAAGGCCAATGGCATTTTGGGATGTATAAGTAGGGGCATAGCGAGCAGATCGAGGGACGTGATCGTTCCCCTCTATTTGACATTGGTGAGGCCTCATCTGGAGTACTGTGTCCAGTTTTGGGCCCCACACTACAAGAAGGATGTGGATAAATTGGAGAGAGTCCAGCGAAGGGCAACAAAAATGATTAGGGGTCTAGAACACATGACTTATGAGGAGAGGCTGAGGGAGCTGGGATTGTTTAGCCTGCAGAAGAGAAGAATGAGGGGGGATTTGATAGCTGCTTTCAACTACCTGAAAGGGGGTTCCAAAGAGGATGGCTCTAGACTGTTCTCAATGGTAGCAGATGACAGAACGAGGAGTAATGGTCTCAAGTTGCAGTGGGGGAGGTTTAGATTGGATATTAGGAAAAACTTTTTCACTAGGAGGGTGGTGAAACACTGGAATGCGTTACCTAGGGAGGTGGTAGAATCTCCTTCCTTAGAGGTTTTTAAGGTCAGGCTTGACAAAGCCCTGGCTGGGATGATTTAACTGGGAATTGGTCCTGCTTCGAGCAGGGGGTTGGACTAGATGACCTTCAGGGGTCCCTTCCAACCCTGATATTCTATGATTCTATACCAGCCATACCAGTTTTTGTAGACAGACAGGCACTGCCGTCTCTGCAAACTGGTGCCATTGTGTATCGGGGTACTGGAGTTAGAGGTGCTGGGGGTGCAGCTGCAGTCCCTGGCTTGGAGTGCTTTTCCTCATATACGGGGTTTACAGTTTGGTCCAATGGCATTCAGCTCCCCCACTATACAAATTGTTCCAGTGTCCCTGTTGTGTATTGCCTCAAATAGCCACACACGTCCTCAGGAGTAGCTCCAGAAATAGCACAGGGCCCATAACTACAGCTTGGAGGCTGGCTCTGGGAATAGCACATGCTTATTAATTTGTAGTAACACATGGCTCATAAGCTGTTTAGATGTACAGTGTTTTTATGTAATATCATTAAAAAGCTACATAATTAATCAACACGTTTCTCATCTTCTCAGGGACATCTGTGCATTTAGAGTGGTATTAGTATTCCGAAGTGACAAACCCATGTGTTAGCATTCTGCAAAATCCCTAATCCAAACCATTCTGTTCTCAAATTCCATTCTATAGCAGTCTGATTAAGAGGCAACATGCCGTCCCTACACCATTTACAACAGCAGCTGAATTCGTTATCTTAATGAGGTTATGCCCAAGAAGCAGAATTGCTGCTGACTTACCACATCGATTATCTGCAGCAAAGAAAGTTGTAGCTCAACAATAAGAGGTTGGGAATCATTCACTACGGGGCGTTCAAGGCGATTGTAGTTCCTCAACAGTTCTCTGTACAGACGCCTTTGGTTTTCACCCTGCTGGGAAACTTTTGGAGGGGAAAAAAAGATGGTGACATAAATCATCTGGCCCGATCAGAAAGTCCATTTTATTTCTGAATCCTCCGTAGCTTATTTTGATCTTCTAAAACAGAGAAGCAGATTCCCAGAAAGTAAAGACCTCCTCAAGTTTGCCCATATCGAACACATCTTCCATTCTATGGTTTCATAAAACATCGTGCACTGCATGTGTTTCTATCACGGAGCAGCCAAAGAACTAGAGGTATATAAGCTGGCTAGGAATCTTTTTGCCACATGACAAAACACACAGCTGAAGCTCTCTAAGGCAGGAAAGCCCAAACTACAATATGGTTTTAGATTTGGTCATTTCCAGGTGTTTCCGCTTTTGTGGGGTGCAGGAGGGGGGGTTCCAACCATATTTGTGTTTCGAAACAAAACATTTCAAAAAATTAAAAAAAAAATTTCCTGGCTGAAACTATTAGTAGAATTCTGCCTGAATTTGTAAATACTTCTAGAGCACTGAAAAATGCATTTTTATTGTTTTTTAAGGCAAAAACCAAGCGTCAAAAAAACTTCGCCCAGCTCTGAGTGGCTGCATTGTGTCCTGAAGCCCGAGAGCTGGCATTACATTGACATCTGTATGTGTGTTTATCCTATCTAAGTTAACTGTGGGGTCCTAGTTATCAATGGATTCGATTAGGCCTGGCCCTCTGTGACCATGCATGTCTGGGGGAGGCAGAAAAGAGCCTCCTCCTTGCCCTTGGCAGTGCTCACAGGGGCTGGGCAGAATTGCAGCCTTTGTTCAGGGGAGGTGCAGGCTTGCTATCAAGATGTTCCTGTAGGGATGCTGCAGGGGGTGGGAAATAGACAGAGCTATGACTTCATGTCCCCATGTGCTAACCAGCACACCTGGCTTCCCTGAAGTCAATGCCCAAATTTGCACTGATTTTCACTGCAGCCAGAATTTACCAAGGCAAAAGGAGTAGAGCTGTGGGAGGTGTTATTTCTCTCAGTGCCTCCCTGCTGCCCCTCAACACAGGCCTGTGCCAAACAAGCACAGTCTAGCCCCATATAAATGTCTCATTCCTCTTAAAACCCTACAGCTCTTTGCTTCGATAACCTGCGTAGCCTCAACTGCCATGTGTGTCACATGGATATTCCTAATATCCAACCTAAACCTCCCCCACTGCAACTTGAGACCATTACTCCTTGTTTTGCCTCCTTAGCTTTGTTTAAATTAGCTTGTGTTTTTCCCCTCCAGTAGCCACTCTATGCTAGCGTTTGAAAATCCCTCTATCCACAACAGTGTAGACTGTACTACCATTGTGTCCTTTAGCTTCATTAAACCAAGCTCTCCTGTGTATTACTTAGAACAGAGTCAAACATATCTCCTCCTGCATCCTCTGTTCCAAGAAGCAATTCTTTATGGGGTTGAGAAATTTCTTCTCAAAACAGTGCCTTCATGGGCCTGTTAATATTTTGGCAGCTGAAGTCCTCCATTATGGGGGGAGGGATAGCTCAGTGGTTTGAGCATTGGCCTGCTAAACCCAGGGTTTTGAGTTCAATGCTTGAGGAGGCCATTTAGGGATCTGGGGCAAAAATTGGGGATTGGTCCTGCTTTGAGCAGGGGGTTGGACTAGATGACCTCCTGAGGGCCCTTCCAACCCTGATAGTCTATGATTATCATCCGATCTTGTGTCCTCTCTCAGTGTTGGGCAATTGCTGGCGCCCGCTCAACTTGGAGACCAGCAACATATCCCAGTGATTATATAGCCCATTGTGTTGGGATTTGTAGCCATGTGTTTGTGCGCATTTCATCTTTTATCTATGAAATTATGTACATCTGCATGCAGTTTGGAGCCTGGAGGTTCTTGGTGAATTGCCAAGGCAGCTGTTGGTGTCACAAATGGTTGGCCTGTCTAATCAGGCTGTCGTCTCGTTTTGTTGCAGCAGCCTCTGAGCAGGAAGAGAGGTGAGATTGGGGACAGATTAAAATAATTTTTTTAGAAAAATTAGACCAGCACAGTTTTAAAATCCTCAGTGCTTCGGTCACCAGGGAGATGATTGGTTTTCTCTCTCTCTAAAGCCCCAAAAACTCCATGGTGTGAAGTTGGAATGAACTAAATTGTGGCATTTTTCTGTAACAGGAGGTTGTAATTTCTGGGTCTGGGGACTGGTAGTGAGCTGCACAAATCTGGCCCCAGTCTTCGGGACTGGATCTTTTTTCCGGTGGCCAGTATGAAATTGCATCCAAAATAACTATTGGAAGAATGGTAAAGTTGAAAAGTCAGTTGCTCAAAAGTGACACCAGACATGAGATGAAACCATCATTCACTTCCCTTGTGCAGATGCATTGTGGTACAGTCTTGCCCCACATGACACAGGAAGTGTGTAGCAGAACCAGGAATAGAACCCAGAGCTCTTGTCTTTAAGCACAAGAGAATGGCCTCTTTTACTATCCACTAATGCACTATGTATGCACTAATGTATGCACTAATCAGGCAGGGGTGCTATGGAAAATGTGATTATGTAATTAAAGACTGTATCGTAATGCATACTCACAAGGGGGCTGATTTGAAGTTGTACAGTCAACCTTAAATCTGGCATCTCCTGGCATTAGAATGCTTGATTTTGCAACCTTAATGGCCTTTAACATAGGGTTTTTTTAAAATGCAATTTCCTATCTCTCTCTCTCTCTCTCTCTCTCTCTCTCTTTTTAATAAAGAAAGCTATAAAATAGTAATACCATTATTTAGAACCAGATTGACACCTTCCTGGGTTATCATCAGGATCTGAATGCAGGACCTTTAGATCTACAACACAGACTGCTACCATTTGAGACAAAGGAGTAACTGGTAGCAGTAGTAGGTTGTTATCCTATATGTGGACTAGCCTTTGTGGGGTGGGGAATGCAGTACATGTTTTGCTAGTGCTTTACTTAGCCATTCCCCAGCCAGCAGTAGAAGAGCCTGAATCAGAATTTCTGGGTACTAATCTTGGCCTTTTCTGCACAGTTTGGTTACCAAGCACACAGATTTGCCCTATTCATTCTAAAAGGTTGTGTGGGTGTGACTATAGTCTGCCATATTAGATGTGCATGTGTTCCAGCTCTGCCAGAAGTGATAATGCACAACTTTGCCATTACCTCATTGTGGGAACGATACTTGTCTCCCTTCTATGGTGGAGGCATTAGGCCTGGCTCAAGAAAAAGGCCTGGATACCCAGAAATATTACCATTAGTCAGTAGAAATGCTGAGACACTTTGGTCTGTTGCTGGCTTCCAACCAAACACACCTTCCTCTAGGCTACAGAGGCGGCTGCTGCTGTTGTTCCCCATGCGGAGCCAAGCACTGTGGAGCCTATGAGCGTGCTCAGAGTGGATGAAAGGTGGTGGGAGCTGGGAAGTACCCTCGGTGCATATGACAGCAGTGAGGCTGGAGGGTGCCCAGTGCAGCTGGAACATTCCGAGATTTTAGAAGCAAGATGAACCATATCTGAGCATGTGCAAAGGCTTCTAACTTTGCCAGATCTGGGTGGATTTTCTGTGAGGAGCACAACGCACCCCTCTGGCCCCAGGACCACCCTCCTGCCTCATTTCTAGTTTTTGCTCCAAAGCACAGAAGCACTGGAGCTCTTCAAAGAAATGGATTGGGCAAAAGTAAAATGCTGGCAACGCGATGCATTTTCCCTTAACTTTCTTCATGGAAATGGCTGACCCCTGCTTGTGAATTTTTTTTAATTCAACCTCAAGCAGAGAACAAGCTTGGGGGCGGAAAGTCTGGCAAAGTTATAAGCAACTGAAACCAGCCTTATAACAGAAAGTGTAAGGCAACCTTAACTATAGGCAGTGCTGCAGATAAAATAGACGATCCCAAAAGGCTCTAGGGGGAGAAAATACTGGGTGCTAATGGGCTCTTTAGTCTAATGGCTGGAAGCTGTCGCTGCACAAATTCAAATTAGAATGAAGGCACAAATGTTTAACAGTGAAGGTGATTAACCGTGGGAACAAACTCCCGAGGGGAGTGGTGGATTGTCCATCTCTTCATGTCTTCAGATCAAGCCTTGGAAGAAATATTTGAACCAAACACAAGTGACAGGGGTAACTAGGTAAAATGTAAAGGTCTGTGATATACTGGAGATCAGATTCGATCAGCTAATGGTTCCCTTTGGCCTTAAACTCTATGAAGTTAGTAAGCAAGTGTGACCGAGGGCAGGGAGTGAGTAGGTGAGCCTGCACTCTGATCCCTTAGAGGCCAATTACTGCCCCAGGAGAAGCTGACTGGGAGTAACGAACTCAATTGGCCCATCAGTCCAAGGCTGAGAAGAGATACAGGAAAGAAGTGCAAAAAGAGAGAGAGGAGGAACAGGGCTAGCTTTAATTAACTGGCCTCCTAAGCTCAAAGGTTGTGGACTCAAACCTCTGTAAGTGTCTAGCCACTAGAGGGAAACAGAGCCACACTGTGTTAGTGTGGGTCGTACAGATAATACTTACTGTCCTACTCTCAAATGGTAGCTGTGAGGCTTAGTTCATTGGCGTTTGCAAAGTGCTTTGAAGGCCTGGGGGAGACAATGCAGGAGAAGCGCTCAGTGGTGCTCCTGGCTCAGGTGATGTTGAGTCTAGTATGAGTTGGCAGCAGCATGCATCCCGGGAAGAGCTGCCCATTTGTGGTACTGCATGTTGCATAGTCTCCTTAGGACTCCGGGGCTCTGTACCCTTTGGTTAGCTGCTTTGATTGTAAAGTTATTCAAAGTGTAACCTGACACTGATTTTTAAAGCCCTTAAAGGTGCAGGACCTGGCTGTATCTGAGAACCTCTTGCTGGAGCCTTGTGCTCAGACAGCAGGCACTATTTATGGATTGTACCACTGAGCATTCCTCTCCCGTCTGTCCATCCCCCTTGTCTGTTGTGCAGCCCATTGGATAGGGCGCTGGACTGGGATCCAGTAGAGCTGGGTTCTGCTTCTGACCGGATGGCTAGGCAGCAGTTCTGCGGAAAAGGACCTAGGGGTGACAGTGGACGAGAAGCTGG